ACCCACACTCGAGTTTTGAGATCATCAGAGAACTTAAAATTGGAGACACCAATGCATTTCACTAAATTTCTTAACAAATCTTTTATAGTTCAAGCTGCCCGTCTCTGGAATGCATTGCCCGAAAATATAAGACGTGCGCAAACGGTAGATAGTTTCAAAAATCTAGTAAAGGAGCACTATCTGTCATTATGATCTTTTACATTATATACCTATATATATTTTATAGTATGTAGGATAATTATCTATGTATGTTTATATCATGTACATTTAAGACACCATAGACTACTTAATTTTGATTTAAATTAAAATTTTCCAAACGGTTACGGTTGCCTGGAAGAAATTGCTTCTTAGCGATAAGGTCGCCGATTGTACTATTTGTTCTATATTATTGTTACTTATTTTATTTATCGGTGTTTTTGTACAATAAAGAATTATTCTATTCTATTCTATATTTCGAAAGATCTACAATACCTATAAACAAACAAAGTTACAAACTTTACCGTTTCAGAATATTACTATAGATTGAATATAATTTCATATAAACATTTATGTCATTAAAAATATAATAAAGAATCAAAATATGCTTAAATAAATGTGCATTAATAATGACTTCTCTAAGTGTGATCTGAATTGTCCAATCTAGTTTAATAATTCAGGACAGTGACGGCACACGTGCACTATATCCCACGCCATTTTTTAGAGCGTACACTTGGATTTTCGTAGCACTTGGTGTTAGATACGTATATTATCGTAGCATGCTACGAGTCTATAACGTAACTGGGTTCTTTTTCATTTCGATTATTTATACCTGTACTCACAGTTTCTTCATCATCTTATAACTATTGTGCGTTTAATATAGTTATTATTAGGGTTCGACACCTCTAAGGAACCCTTTCTTGTCCGTCTGTCTATCTGTAAAGAGTCTTAATTTCGGGAACGCATGGAGATATAGAGTTGAAATTAAAACTACAGTTCCCTGAAACCTGAAAACTATAAATTTGCAATTAAATTACATAAAATAAACTTACAGGGCGACCAATAATTTCTAATTGACATATGATATGAAGGGGTTTCCTTTTGCTATTTTTCAGAAGAAAAAAAGATTAAACATTTATTGACCTAAGATAAAATATGGAGAACTACGACATATCATCACACTACATTATACGCAAATGATATACAGCCAGTTGTACAAACGTCCTTTAAAATTGTCAAGTGTTTAAGACCACATTACCGATACACATTGAACATTCATTAGAGCTTAAAACCATCATTAAACCTTAATGGACGTTTGTGTAACTGAACGATAAACTATTATTTACACGGACGAAATAGCGGGAAAAAACAATTCATGTAGCCAAGTGGTTTTCACGCTGGTTTCAAGGTGTTTTGCCATTCGTCGTCGGGTCTACTCTTAATGTACTCTAAATATAATTGCATGCAAGGCACAAGAAAATGCTCCCATTCCGAGAGCGTTTTCAACTAATGAACATTTAGTGAAATAAAAATTTGCCTATATGTCAGTTCAATCTTAGAATTATCCGTTGACCAAATTTCATCAAAATCCGTTCTGTAATTTTTGCGTGAAAGAGTTACAAACATACATACATATTCTAAGAAAGTTTTGAATTTACTCGTATAATATTAGATAGGTAGTTGCTAAGTGCCGAGGCCCGTTCTTTAACCATCCATAAAGAAGGCCTGAATCCCGGCAGTGAGGACGAAAACGGGCTAACAATCATAATGATGATTAGTAGAATAAAGAAAGAGGTAACATAAAGAGGTCGATCAGGACCCTCCCTCGGCCTTTCTTTAATCCAAATAGCCAATATCCAAAAAGTCGATAACAACATTAACAATTAGAATTGTTGACGAGGGGCGTGCTGTGCCCGAACATCATACAAAGAACGCTTATGAATTTTTAGTTAGTTCGGCCGTATACCGCCGGGTATCGGAGTTAATTCTATGAATTATGACTAACAGGCCGGAGCGGACTCTATGTTTAACCAGTCATTTTATACTTTACCATGATAAGTTACGTTTTAAGTGTGCTGTTACTGTTCTAAACTACAACGGATGTTTTCTGTTTGTCTGTAATGATTGACCGTTATTGGTAGCACATTTTAATATGAGAACTTGATTAAAATATATTTATTATTCTAGCCACACTATCTTCTTTTCTTTACCCCAACAATCATGTAAATTTGCCTGTACTTGTTAATTATAACGGTTCATGTGCATTAATCTATTAATTTGTCTTTATAAGCCATATTCTTACCCCGATGCGGGTTGACCACTAATGAAAGTATATAATTAATTAATAGACCAGTCTTTATAGCGCTCGCGGGGAAAAGAAATTTGTTTGTTTACATCTATTAGCTGCACCCGCATGCGATTCAATCGATCGATGAAATTTCACCGTAGCAAAAGCACTCGTTTATCACATCATTTATGTAAAATAATATTTGCTAATTTTTACCCTTTATGTAGGAATTGGATTAAGTCTTCCCCCTATTTTATATTTATTATTTACGCAAAATATAAAGCGAGACGCAAAATTCTAATAATTAAGTTTGACGCCCGCTGTTGTAACAAAAATAAGATTTTGCCTTTAAAATCATCTAATGTAATAAATAGATAGCGCCTTTCATAAATAGGAAGGGCGGGATGATAAAAAGCTAGAAAAACTTGAATTAGTGTGTTAAAAGTATATTTATTTTTCGACGTCTCCTTGAAGCGCTATGCACTTCATCCATCTATGCTCTAAAGCCTTGATGCCATCCCTGAAGTAGTTTTCTTCAGACCCTTCAAAATAACTGTCCACTGCAGACATCACCTCACTATTATTTTCAAATCTTTGTCCACCAAAAAATTTTTGAGCTTAGGGAATAGATAAAAGTGAGATGGTGCCAGATCAGAAGAATAATTTTGAATTTTGAATTTCGCCATTGCAGTGATGCACGTGTGAACGCGCGCATTATCCTGATGAAAGATTATTCCAGGCCGGGTCTTTTTTCACGAATACACACTTGTAATTTATCCAGTAGATCAGCATAATATTCGCCATTTATGTTTTGTCCTTTTGGAAATTTATCAATCATCAATATACCCTTCGAATCCCAAAATACTGACGCCATGACTTTCCCCGCTGATTTCACGGCTTTTGCTTTCTTTGGAGCCGGGGATCCCTTTTGCGTCCATTGTTAAGACTGAATTTTTGATTCAGGTATATAGTGGTGAACCCAAGTCTCGTCTGAAGTAACAAACCATCGCAGAAAAACAGTTGTGTTGCCCTTAAAGCGGTCCAAACATTCTTGTGAAATTTGCATACGAACGCGTTATTGGTAAATTGTAAGCAATCGCGGCACCCACCTTGCGGATAATTTTTTCATACATAATTCTTGAGTTAAAATGTAATGCGCCCGTTCTTTAGAGATGCCTACAGTATCAGCTATCTCGGAAAGTTTCAATCTTCGGTCAGCTAAAACTGCATCATGAATTTTGATCGCAATTTCTGGAGTAGTGGCACTTTTTGGACGTCCTGGACGATGTTCATCTTGGGTGCTGGTACGGCCACGTTTAAATTCAGCTACCCAATTTTTTATGGTCGCATATGAAGGAGCATTTTCTCCCAAAACATCCTTCATCTCCAAAAAATCTTTCCACCTTTTAATCCTTTTAGATGCAAAATCTTTATTACAGCTCGTAGCTCAATTTTATCCATTTTGCAGAAAAAACAAAAGAATGCTTTATGAAATGTCAATATTTAAAAGAAAAACTATACGATCGATTTGAAATTTGGAAGACTGACAGCTAATGAACCAATGAGTAAAATACAAAGGAGATTTTATATCGTTATTATACAAAATATGGGTTGGGCTATTTATCATCCCGCCCTCGTATAATATACAAGCTTGACTTATATACTGGTATAAGCGATAATATTCATATTGAAGGTTAGAATTCTATCAAAAAACAGAAAACATTTCTAGTTCTTAATATAACAGATAAATATTATTATTTCACTTGTTCATTTTTGATGGCAGCTACTACTAATCAATAGTTAGTCACACAAAATTAATTTGTCGATTCGTCTTTTACGGTGTATTATTAAGTGGCTTGGCTACATATGGCATTGAATAGTCGACTTAATAAATTTCTAACCACAGTTATAATTACACTGATCGACGCGAGCTCTAATAATTACACTGTAGCGTTCACTTCGAATGGTTTGAATCTATGGTTGTTCGATTCACCTACATAATTACAGTTCAGTTTGCGAATGCCTATATTATTAAAGCTTAACGAAATACTGCAAATCGTGAACTTAGTTAATACCTGAATACAAATGTAATCACTAAATGATTCGGCTCACATTTTCCAGTTACGAACAAATGGCTCTTCCCATTATCTCAAGGTTTGGCGATTTGGAGCATTTTGCATCTCCAGTCTGAACATGAGTTTTTTAATATCATCCAACTATCTTAGGTGGATGTCCACCTAACATCCACCTAAGATAGTTGGATGATATGTTAGGTGGACGTGAAAACATATAAAAATTAAATCTTATTTTGCCATTATTAAAATAAAACTATCAAGAGAACTAAAAGAATCTTGTAAATTGGAGCAGCATATAGTGTAGCTCCCAAAGGGATTAGAGTACAGTTTATCACAAACTACATAGGGTGTTGATTGTCTTTTTGGTCTCCATTTCTGAGTACCAGGGACAAAGTGGACTTATTGAACATTTTTCATTAATACTGTTTGATATTTGTTACTTATAAGTGTGTTTTTAGTAATTACTCTTTTAAAAGTTATTTACTACTTATCTGCTTAATAACTTGTAAGCCGGCCATTAGATCATTTTCAAATTCCCCAAAATCCTATTGAGAAAAGTTATACTTTTACAGGTAAACGGCGAAAGAAACCCAGAAGAAGTTTATAAAGATTTCAGAGCGGCTGTTCTCCAAATCTTGGGCACGCAAGACGATCAGGCCACCATGAATGGTGTAAGTGGAGTAGGGGTAGGAGCTGGTGGTATACCAGGGGAAATCGTGGGTGTGGAACCAGCGCCGAATGTGACCGAGCGAGACACAGTGAAGGAGGAAAAGAGACCTGAGACCACAGTGCTGCCTGTGGCTGCGCCAGTAGTGGTGCCTATACAGCAAGAGAACGGTACTTTGACAAGGATAGTCAGTCCAAAGGTTGGTGTTTCAAAAGTTTATTTTCTTAACGTTTGCGCCTTCTTTAGTCATGTTGTATTCAACCGCAATCAAATTAATGTAGAAAATAAATGCCGTGATTATGAGTTCCAACGGACATTAATTATCTACTTTAAAAAACATGGGCATTACAAGGTATTAACGTAATTATTTTATATTGTGAGTGATACACACAAACCCGGTAATCAGAATAAAAGACATTACGATCTAAAAACATATTTCATTTATTACTAACGATACAGGAAAAATTATGATTGTTTGCTATTAACGAATGAAATCGTCAAAGGCGCTTTATTTCTTGTTTTACAGTAAAATTGCAACTTAAAATGAGCTAAACAAATTTTGATATAACCAAAATAAAACATATTTTTAAATTTAGTTATCTCATTTAATATGAATTATTGAAAATAATTTTACAATTCTCAGTCCATCCAAATCATAGTAGTCTAGTTTAAAATAACACATTTAATTTCAAAGGGCAAAGCTGCCAAAGTTGTGGATTTTTGGCATTGCTGTAGTCGTGCACATAGCCTATTATATATTGTGATAATACATATTATTTTGGTAATGACATGATTTATGTACATGTCATCATTACTTATGATAAAGAGCTGGTAAGTTTCTTTCGCTTGTTCTTCTTGTCAGCTAAAAGACGTCCTGAACAAGTGGTAGGGGAAAAAAATTTTTTTGGACGATTCAAAAGTGCTTGTAACTACTTGAATAAAGATATTTTCATTTCATTTAGACAATACTTGTTATATAAAAAAATATATTAAATATTATAATAACATAATTAGCAAACTTAAAATGTGTATTTTGCTCAATATCAAAATTAACATCGCTAGGATCTGTTACCCTTTAATTAAACAATCGATAAGTATTGTACGCCCGTATATGATGAATATTGATTTACTTTTCCTTTAACGAATACTAAATAAAGGCTATGAGTATAGGTAAATCTCGATGTCTCAAATGTTAATTTTAATATTACGAATTCAACATTTGCATGAAGTTAATTGATTAACGTTGATATTTTTTTTTAATTGCATTGTTTTTGTACACCGAGCTGTCACAGCAGGAACCAATGAATTAAAGTTTTATTAAGATATAAACCTCGAATCTAAAAGATACATCGCCATCTTTCATTCATTTGGTTTTAATTTTACATGTAGAAATTAATTTATTCACTTGACATTAGGAGAATTATGCCAAATGCGCAGATAAGCCATTAATAAAGGAAGAAGTATTAACTTTTAAAGAAGGTTTTAATTTAATCGAACCTCTATGCTCTGTACTCGTCATCGTGTTGGTTGGTGGTGATTTTTTTTTTATTTAAATTGATGCACTGCTATTAATACGCATGAATGAATGAAAGAATCATACCATTTTCGCTTATCATTTTTGATGACTTACCGATTTCACTGAAGGTATGTTGTTGCATGAACACTCCTAATAATATCTACTCTTCGCGGTATCAGCTTTTTTCGTTAGTACGTTTTTTATCAGCTTTCAATATTGATGCCTTTTGTTGTGTTTTAAGTGTACAAGGAGAATTCCTTGTACACTTAGCGTTCATGACTAGACAAGAAAAAATAACGAAGGGTGAAAAGAATACGCGTAGGATGCGTTCCGTCATACATATTCTCAATACATACGAATATATTGAAAAATACAGCACAATGAGTAGAATTTAATCATAGACTCGAACAGAACTAATTTCATTTCTTCAAATTCTCGGAATAACTTATAATAGTATGTTTAATGATAAATTGATCTTATTTGTGTAGATATCTAATTGTAACCTTCTTCTTTATTTTCTTCAGAATTGCGTGGGACGCTTTTCTATCTCCGATTTCTGAAACTAAATTAAATGACTGAATTTACTATTCTCCCGCAACTTAGCCCGCATTAAAACACCTGTGTATGTTGTAACTTACCTAAAAACTTATTCTCTTTATAATATTATTAATATATATTATAGTTGAATCATAATATTATTTTAAATCGATAGCATTTTTAATTGATCAATCAGTCCTTTAAAATAACAATTAAGTTGATTTTTCTATTCTGTTGGCTTAGAGTGAAGTAAAGGGTTCCAGAGAACGGAACACCAAAACCATTTGAAAGCTTCGAGGGCGCGTTTGTAGGACACGACGGACCGCCTTGACCTATTGAAGATCCTTGTTTATTTATTAAGCCGTGCCGAAATTTATAATGTCATATATCAGTAGTATTGAAGTTTACTACATGTCTAGTGACCTAGTATAATCGAGATATGATACTTTTGTAATTAAGCTACGTATACAATTATTTGAGTAGCTCGGTGGCGTAGTTGATAAGCTCCGCGGCCCGCGATCGTAGTCGTTAAGCAACTTTCGCAAGGGTCGATCACGGGATGGGTGACCAAAAAAAAATTATTATCTCGAGCTACTCCGTTCTTCGGAAGGCACGTTGAGCCGTTGGTCCCGGCTGCATTTGTAGTCGTTAACACCCTCCAATGCGCATTGGGCCAGCGTGGAGGGTCATGGCCCATCCTCCTTAACCATCCATAAGGAAGGCCTGAGCCCCGGCAGTGGGGACGTAAAAGGGCTGGTGATGATGATGATGATACAATTATTTAAATTCAATAAACAACTTTTTATTTTTGACATTACAATCCTTTTTCAAGGCATAAGTTTACTATTTTAGAGTAACCTTTCCAACTATAGCGTTATGGACCATTTTGTTTTTATGTATGGCTCGGCAACTGGAATATTAATCAATTACCGAGTAGATATATGTTTTGTTGTTTCTTATATTGTAATGGAAAGTGACTCATAGTCCAATAATGTCACGTTTCGATTAGACTTCTCTATATAAAGTAAAATCGGGAGAAAAATAACTCCTGCTGAGTTTCTTGATGGTTCTTCTCAGTAAAAGGTCTCCTACCATAGATTTGTGAACCGATGGCATAGCTTTGATATTCATAAGTGCTTGTAACAGTCAAGACTGAATAAATCCTATTTAATTTCAATTTACATGAAGCCAATATCCGAAACAATCCAGTAACCCAGTAAAATTAGAAATAAATCTATTTCATTGGACTGGCTTGATTCCTCATTGACTTGAGTATTGTATCCATTTAAACGAAGCCTATACTGGACTGGCTTACTGAATTATCTCGGTCAACTGACCTCGTGTAAATGAACCATTAAACTCTATTGTATACATGAGCACCTCGGGTTGGTACATGTATGCCATAACAATATGACCTCAAATGCCATGGACAAGTGCCTGAGGCTAGTACTTTGGCGGTTGTTCCATCAAAATCATCTTTAGCCCTGGACGAATTCGCGGAAGAATTACTAAACTTTTCTTTAAAAATATTATGATTGTTTCAGCCGGAAGTGATAAGAGTTAAATCTGCCAATGGGGTTAATTCTACTCCTGCGATAGTGTGGGTAGTTGGAGGGCCGGGGAGTAACAAAGCGAGCCTGTGTGAAAGAGCTGTTGCACGACGAGACGGCTGGACACATTTCAGGTATAATATATAAGAAAGTTTAAGAATACTGTAGCATACAGGCATTATAAATTTCCATACGCTTTAACACGTTGAGTGCGGAACCAGGTTTGCAACACCTAGTCAATGATTCATTTGCAGTGCGGCTAAAAAACATAGACTTCTCTGTCGTGCGAAAGACATAACTTCAGTTTGGTTCGGTGTAGGAAAAAGATAAATATACATCTATGATGTGTTGTTAAAGTAGAATCTAATGGTGTACCCACCTTAATACCAGGTTTCCTAAATCTGGTACCGCACTTAAGTAATGAAATTTTAATACAGTGCGAAACATGGTCGAACAGTCCTTGTACCCCCGCGCACCTAGTACCGCACCCTGCGCTTGCTTTACATGGCCAGTGTTGTGATAGCATTCGAAAGAACGCATGTGTCGAAATGTCACAGACAACGACAAAACGGTGCCGAAAAAAAATTAATTTAAACTTCGACATTAATGATGACACTGATACGAATAATAAAATGAATTCGAATTATAGACAGATTTATCAAAGGCAGGTAAGTCATATTTACCTTATATTTTGCCTTCTTACATTTAGTAGGTACAAATTGTACAAAGTTTTTTTTATAACACAGAGGATATTTATATTTTACTGTACAATATAATCATTGTCAGAGTTAATAATAAACCAAAACCTCTTTTTTTTGAGCTTGGTCATACGTTATACACGTGAGGTATAATCGTCGTATAAAATAATTGTGCTATATTATATTATATTATATTAGTACAGATAGACCAATAGATCGTTAATTTAAATGTAAGATAACTATTTACTTTTCTTAAATATTTTCTTTTCTTTTTCTTATAATTAACCATAAGTAAAGTTATCGATACTTTTAGTTCCCAACCCTAAAACATATGCAAAACTTCCCCAATTCAGTGCGGCACAAGGTGCATAAGATCTTGTATTTTATTTTAGCTAAAGATTCTAAACTAAATAAGCTGTTCACGTACGCCGTCAGATTCATATAAAACAGTTCATTATTTATAAAATCAATAGAATTTATTAACATTAAGCGAGAAAAAATATATTAGTTTCTTCAACGCAACAGGGTTTTATAAGCCCAGTACCGCCACAATGATAGTTTTATGGCCAGGTTGAAAACGCCCTGTACCGCAGGAATGGAAAGAACAGAAAAATCGGTACCGCTTCGAACGTGTTAACTATGTCCAGGTGTTTACTGTAGAAGTTAAGCCTGAGATAAAAACCAGTAAATACTGGAATACTAAAAAAGTAAAGGCAATAGCAACAAACTTACGTTTTATAAACTTTTTTTTTCATACCACTGTAATTGCGCAATCATATTACTCGTCGCCGCAATAGGCTGAAAGTTATTGACAAGTCACAAAGAGCACCACAAAGTTTGTTCTGTCACACGCTATTCGAACTTATGCTGGATGTTCTGTATTACATATAAAACAGAAACATATTTCTTTTACTAGTACTTCGATATCAGCTTGGAAACCTCAAAAATTAAGTCTTACGTTAAGCAAGCTACTTCTTCTTACTACGGACAGGCATACAGAACTTGGTGCCCTAGGCAAAACACGGAAATGTCGCTAATAAAAAAAACACAACTAACTAAAAAACTAACTTAGGTTAAATTGTACTTTTAAAATAACTTGGACATGGAGTCATATTCAAAGAACAAAAGTATTTTTTAAGGTAGGTGCATTCTTAAGGTTCAAAAAATTAGAGCAAACATAATCTGTTTGTAATGCTCTACCGCCCCTAAATACTAGCGCCTTAGGCATTTGCCTAGTATGCTTATATGTACGATCTGGCCCTGACTACGAGCTCTGCTACGAGCGTTAAACAAGCCCTACCATAAAAAAGTTTACGCAGCCCTGTAGTTGACTACTCCGTTGAATTCCAAGAGAACGTAAGCGACTATTTCTCTTGCCTCCATGCATTAAGTGTAATCGACATCTAACAAATCATTAAATTTTTTTCCAGCGTGGGTCAGCGTCTCCGAGCTTTAGCGGATGCAGGCGGCGGTCCTGCATCGGACGGTGCATTGGCGCGGGCTGCGGTGAGCGGCGGCGAGCAGGCGCCCCGGGAGCTGGTGGGTCGACTGGTGAAGGCTGCGCTGTCAGACGCGGCGCGCACCGCACACGGACTCGTGCTCGACGGTTACCCCAGGGATATGGAGCAGCTGGAACACTTCCAGAAGGAGGTGAGACGATCCATTAGTATGGATTTCTCTGGACTAGTCACCCGCCCAAGTTTTATAATAGACAAATTTATTTTATTGATATTCATAAAAATATATTTGTTCACTAATTTGACTATTTTTTAAAAGATATAACCTAATCAAAAAATAACAGCAGTACATTTTAAAGTAAACATAATTTACAGTACAGTATTCTAGTCCAGCTTAATATAACTGGCCAAATACTGGATGGGAACAAACGAACGAGGCGAGCTTAAAATACCATACTCTTGATCTCTTAAACCTAAAACCTAAACAAAAATGCAACGTAAGAGATATCCTTTACCCCCTTAAAGTCAACCATAGTGTAACTCCTTAACCCTCTCTAAATCAAAGATTTCTCCAAAATGAACAGTCGCAGGTAATCACATTGCCTTTAACTGGATAAAGTGATATTTAATTATATTTTTTTCTGGAACAAATATTGTTCATAATTTATAAGTTTCAGCTTATTATAGCGATACGTGAAAACTTTTTGTTGGCCATTTGTAATTTAATCTAACGCTTATAAATTTCATGTGCTGTTGCTCTTCCCGAATGTATATAAATAAATAAAATTACGTTGACAGTTCCGCGTGGAGCCCCGTATGCTCCTGCTGGACTGCTCGAAGCTGCAGCTGGGTCGTGGACGGCGCGACGACTCTGTGGCCGCGTTCCGCCGCCGACTCGAGGTGTTCCGCGAGCTCAGCCTGCCCATGCTTAAACACCTCGATCAGAATCATAGACTAGTCATAGTAAGTACTCATCAAGGTCTCGGGTACTCCTAGGAGACATAATACTGTCGCTGTTACCCTTGCTTTCTGCATAGAATCAAAAAAGATCAGAAACGACACACATGTGTGCTCGTAAATGTCTTCACGGCCGTGTGTACACACATCATGTACGTGGCAGCATGGTTGTGGTTTTTATTACCGACCTTTATTGTACGGTCAATTAAAGAATAGCTTCAGTGTTTGTTTTAAGGGACAAACTATGTCAATAAGAGCATCAATAGTCTTAAATCACCGTAATTATTTGGCGCAGGTGGATGGCGATACAGATTCTACGGAAGTACAAGAGGAGTTTACTCAGGTACTTCTGGAGGAGATGGAGAAAGCTGAAGCACTTGCCGCGATGCCAGAACAGCCGCCCACGCCTAAACCGAGTAAGAATTTATATTCCGATACAAACCTTTATCCGCACGGGTATTTTCGATATTGATTATTGGCTAAAATTACCTAGATCACTTTGATAACAAATAGCTTGCAGTTGGTACTTGTTCTTAATACAAAATGCTTAAAAAATCCACTTGGTCCCTTGCACCCTAAGATGGGAATCGAACCAACGGGCACAATCCGGGCGACTGCTCCAACAACTGAACTACCCAGGACCTAACAGGACTAACGAATCTTTCAAGCACTTGTTACTTCTCGCTACTGCAGAGCGTATTCTATGAATAATTTTCAGTATGGCATTGTGAATGCAAAATTAATCAAAATATAATAACTGGTACTTGTGTTGTAGAAATTGAAAACCCGTAACTTTCGTTCAGAATAGTTAAAGTTTTAGCTGAAACAGAAACTCGATAGTGCAGGACCCAATCTCCCTTTGCTCCCAATACAATTCCTAGATTTACTGTATCTCATGAACCGTGATAGATAGTTGAGATTTTCACAGATGATTTATTTCTGTTGCCGCTATAATACAAAAAAAAAAAACTTTGATTTAATTTGTAATTTTTTTGCTTTGTTTGACTCTCACTTGAACCGGTTTTTTATATGATAATGATTCTCTTACAGATGGAACAGCAGTACAGCAGTTTGCCCACGCCATGGCGCGCATGAGTGGTGGGATGGGCAACGGCTTCGCGAACGGCGCTCTAAGAAATGGAACCGCACACAACGGGATCCTGCCCAACGGTAACGTGGCCAATGGATTCGCGAACATGGCCAACAATAAGGTGAGGAAACGGGTATGATGATTGATATTTTATGAAGATCTATACATCATCATCAGCCGTAAGATGCCCACTGCTGAGCATAGGCCTCCCCCATAGGTCTCCACGACGATCGGTCCTACACTGCCCGCATCCAGTGGATTAATCCTTTATAAGATCGTCAGTACACTTGGAGGGAGGCCTACCCACTGAGCGTCATCCGGTACGTGGTCGCCATTCGAGAACTCTTCCGGCCCAACGGCCATCAGTTCTTCTCACTATGTGTCCCGGCCACTGCCACTTTAACTGAGCAATTCTTTGAGCAATGTCAGTAACGTTAGTCCTCCTACGGATCTCTTTATTTCTTATTCGATCACGTAGAAAAATACCAAACATTGCTTGCTCCTTTGCCCGTTGGGTGACCTTGAGCCTTCTTATGAGACTGATAGTGACCACCCACGTTTCGCTTCCATAAGTCATCGCTGATAACACATACTGATAGGATAGACACTGAAGGCCTATACACCATTATCATTATCAGCCTATTAATATCCGCTACTACATATACATACTATCTAAGACATCGATGGCGCAGTGGTTAGCGCTCTCAGTCTACTATACGGTAGTTAAGCAACTTTCGCTGTGGCCGGTCATAGGATGGGTGGCCAAAAAAATATTACGCAGCTTCTGTAGTTCTACTGCTGCATCTGCAGTCGTTAATATCCACCAGTCCGCACTGGACCGTTGTGGTAAGTTAGAGACATTAATAGGCTGGTGATATTTACCCCCAATTCTGAAACACGGGCTTTTCTTATGGTTAGAATCCATTAGAAAGATTTAGCAATGATTCACTACGTAGGACTAGTGTGGATTATGGGGTTTGTTCCGGCAAAGCTCCTTGCCAAATCCTGGATCCTTCCCCTCCCTCCTCCCTCGGTGAACCGTAGTTACAGATAGAGTTTTACTAGGTACGCTAATCTTACTGCAACCTGTTCTTCTCAGGACAGGATGATTGGAGAGGCAATAGTTTAAAGCTTAAGGTGCATTGCCCCTGTGTTACCAAAAAAACGACCAGTGCAGATTAGTAGCTCAGCAGATACATTACCAAGGATTTAACGAAATAACAGATTAATATATTTGATCAATTTTAATGAAAATAAGCTCGCTAGTATCGAAACATTCCAAGTGCTTGAAAAATTCGTCAGTCCTGTTAGGTCCTGGGAAGTACATTAGTTAGAGCAGCCTTCCGGATTGCGAAAGGTCATAGGTTCTAGCCCATGTGACAGATAGACAGAAAAAATGACAGATTTTTGGTCACCCATCTCATGATCGGATAAACCGCGTTAACTATTTGGCGTCGATCAATCCAAATCCTCACCAATACCTTAGTTCACCAAAACTTAAAATCAATACTAATAATATCAAAGGGTCCTATTGACTTACATACATCAGTCTTCAATTACTAAATTAAATATATCGAGAAACAGGTGTCATTTCCTTTTTCGAAAGTTTAATGTTTTTTTTTTCTTTTGCCCAGGTAAAACCAATAATGAACAACGTGTCAAAGATTCCCACCGTATCCCAGATGACGCATGACGAGGTGCGTCGTCTGTACGAGCAGAGCTCCGGTGACATCACCATGAACACACACATGTAGCACACAGTGTACGGATAGACCACAGACATCGACCACTTACCTGGTACGAAGGGTACAAAGGGAAATCAGGAAGACTTGGTCGGCAGACTAACGGCGTAACTATTGCTTCAATTGGCTTGGCATCGGGTTGAGTAAAAATGGGTGAACATTCAAAGCACTATCGTTGAAAGGATTTAGCTTAAATCTGATGCTGGTGATGATGAAATAAAGACACAGATAAGATGGACACAGCCTTAGCACTACATTGGAGATTATTGAATAAAACCTACTTGAAAAGGTTACAAAAAGGTTTTATTGGATTGAAACATTTATAACGGAATGGCAAAAAAGGTCGGAGGGATGCACGCATCGAGACCGACACAAATCTGACTGACGATTCCTCAAGTACGCGATAGATCTTATGCCGAGTGTGAGTTGAATTTTATCTCATACATTTGTCTGACGTTCTGCAACCGACCAATTGCGAAAAATTTCATCCCATATGATAACAATCTACCTTCAACCTTCAAAACGGTCGGCATCAATGTAATAACACCAATGTAATAACCTTTTGAAGTAGGTTTAATTTGTTTGACCTTCTAACAGAATAGCACTGCACATCGTTAAGTGACCTATTCTAATGAGATTTTAATGTCTGAAAGATAAATATGTGTTATAGAGCGCGCGTTCTCCTTCTCAAGCCTTTAGGATTTCCCCCATGTCCTGGATATAGATTTATCATCGCAGTTTTGGTTAAATTATCAATTTAATTAAAAATAGTACAGAATGTCTGAAATGCCATTCGTGTGATTGTAGGGGAGACCGAGGAGAGTTGAAACAATTTTGACATTTTATTTCATACATCAAATACTATACACAGAAATCGTATGATATTAGTACCAATCGAAAGGTAATTATTTACACCTGCGAATGACTAACGTCAAGTAGTTGTAAACGTTAAATATTGTGGTAGACATCGACTTAACCGTAACACGTCAATTTGTTTCAACTCTCCTCATACCGAGGTAAGATGAAACAGGGGACGAGGAGAGTTGAAACATATGATTTTTGAGAAGCATTAAGGGATGTAAAATAAAAATGATTATATAATTTCAAGGTATTTATTCAAATAAAACTTTTTTAGTATGTAACAACTTTTTATATAAGGATTTTGTACTGATATATCAGTCAAGTATGTAACTACAGGTCTCATAAATATATTTAACTCTTAAATGAGTTAATTACACCTTCAACTTAAATAAAAAGGATCTTCCTCAATCTTTAACATACAATAGTTATTAATTTTCAGTAATTTCTTAAGTATTACAATGATGCGGTCTGGTTTCTGAACTGTTGTGATACCTGGTTCATCAACTTTCCATATATCCTTCCCTTGTAACCCTGTAGTATAATTTTGGAAAAAAAGTTGTTCATTTGATCTGCTAAACTTGTAGCTCGAGCGATAGTTGTAGGTTGAGGTAGTCTAAGTGAAAGAACAGGATGCCGTTTCATAAATGATCGAAGCCAAACCTTTCCAGCCATTTCATGAGCAGTCCAAGCAGAAGGGATTTTTTTATTATATTTTTTATATATTATATTTACAGCCAATTTATAGGCAAAAGTTCTGGCTTCTTTAGTTCTTAGGCGAAAGTTAACAGCAGCGCAGTTTAAAAGATTGCCTCCTCCTCTGAAGCTGTAAAAACAGTCTTTTCAGGATATCCAACTCTAGGAGCAGTTGCCGTTTCGTTGCCTTCATAAGCATTTTTTTTTAATGTACCTGCAGAGAGATGTATGGTTCAGATTATAACTCGAAACCGCGTCACGGAGACTTTTCTGGCGCAAAATTACTTCTTCTGCTGCGAGATCATATATTTCGCGACTTGCCATACCCCTGTCAGTCTTTCTTTTATAATAAGTTGGCATTCTAAAACAAAATAAATAAATTAAGTTATCATAGACATTAATTAGGAGCGTTACTACCCGTCACGCTGTGTGCAACATTCGTGAAGTGTATGCTGTGGCATTTGTCTGCTTTGCAGCCATTTTCCAATATCTCATGTTATCTATGTAGAGGAGACCGAGGAGAGTTGAAACAGTCTGTTTCAAATCTCCTCAGTAGAAATGAAACCTCTCATTTTTATTTAATCTACAATGAAGAAGCAAATACATAGAAATCAACTGTACCAAACATATACAATGAATCTTTAGTTAAAGAGCTTTCGAAACACATATAACTTAAACCAAAATACAAAACCTATATAAAAATATAAACATCATAACAAAGCCTAAAAAACTTACTTTTCACGATTTTTGACATACGGCTGACAGAACTCCACAACCGCGCGAGGCACACCTCCGACGTGAACTCCCACCACGACGGGCGGAGAAAAATAGTTATAAGGCGAAGTTGCTAACCCGCTAACGGTTTTAAGTTCCGAGAAATTGGTACTGTTTCAACTCACCTTTGTTTCAAATCTCCTCGGTCTCCCCTACGTACACAAAGGAGCACATCCAGGCCTTAATTCTGTTAATGTTAGCGTAATTGTGATTGGACAATGGTGCTTTAATAACAAATCATTTAACACAGTTATAATTACTAGACCACATAATAAACATCACTAATTAATGAAGAAACATTGCACTAACAATACTTGATTTCAGGTAGATATAAAAATACAATTGGAAAATGCGATTAATTGTTGATATATGATTATTATATTAAAATTAATAGACTAATAAATTGCTAAAATTCTTCAATCCATTTTGAACTCAATTGTAAACTGATTTTCCTTTGGACAAATCTGGCGATTTGTAGTAACCTAACGTGCTACCGATCGTACATGATGAAATTTCGCGCACCCGGATATAAACTACAGACGAGACCGAATCTAAAACAACGCGGAATACTCTTGTAGCCAAAATGTAATTAGATTTAAGTATAGTATTAATATATTTTTGTGCAAATAGATTAAACGTGTCGTTACTTTAATATAAAGAAGATATTATAGATTTATATTCTCTGCAAGTATGTTTGTAAAACGTTATATATTTTTACGTACAGTAAGATAAAACTAATGTGGCTCACCGGTTTACCTGCGCAGAACCAATCGGAATGATAAGCTCGCTTGCATCTGGCCGAGTGTGAAAAAATGAACACCTAATGTATTGTATTTTACCTTATTAATTTTGAAACAAGCCTCATTATAAGTTTACCGCAAACGGTAGATCTGCTCTGCGCAAACGCAGATTCTCCGAGCGCAAGTCTTTAATTCTCTAAGGCCATCATCATTTTTTTTAACCGGGGCAAAGACTTTGCTCTTCATCATTTGTCGCCCTACCTCTACTCCCTCTCCTCCCGCACGGTGAAGCCAGGTTTTATATTTTCTTAATTTTATATAGTATGATCCTTTTCTTTTATTTATATTTAGATTCAGTTAAAAAATATTTTTTTACTGTAAGTAGGTATTATATAACGATGACTTTGACGCGCCCCGACATGGGCCGGGGGCAAATGCCCCAACTTGCTCTGCCCCAGATCCGGCCCTGAAGGGCATATGAAACTTACTTACTGCTTTTATAAAACAGGCTTGAGAAAGTATAATATTTAAGATATATCCAATATGAAGTTAAATTAATGTGTAGTCAGTTCTATCAACAGCAATTTAAAATTAATTTATTTGTATAATTCATATAACCGACTACGAATAATTCATATAAATTAAAATAAAATTACGAATAAGTAACATACCCCATGGTATGTTATTTTTAAAGAACACATAAACATTGGTATACTCGCAAATCGATTAGACATCAAGCCACGTGTGTACGCGACATTCACTAATTTTATAATTTACGAAAGAAGACAGAAGATAATTTTTTCAAACTTTAAATAAATTAAGACAAATTTTGGGCCACATAATTATCAGTAATTAAATTCTTTAGGTGTACTTAAAAATTAACGCTGTATATATTTTTGTTTGGATATATTTTTTATCTAAACTAATCGTTAGAAATCACGAGAAGTGCCCAAATGCTAGAGTTAACATTAAAATTAGTTAAACACTTATTATAAGCTATTTTTAACTATATATGTCTATGTATATATCGATCTAAATAGATATTTGTTTAAAAGTCTTAAATTCAGTCATTTAAGTAGGGACTAATTAAATGTATATTATAGTTATAAGGAATTTGTATTTTTGGTATGTGTATTAATGTATAATACTAAGTTTAAAGAAGCGAAAATATTTAAAAATGTTATGTGTAATCTCAATGAAATAACACGTATACGACAAGAGCTCGTGATCAAAACAATAATACCTATAATAATTTGTCTTATACCCCACTTAAGACGTAACAGACAAGATAAATAAATATTATAACCAAACTCTGATATTTCATATTATAACTTTAAAATTCATTTAAAAGACAATTTTGGTATTTTAAAATGATGAATCGTATGTAATAAATAACTAAGCATTATTAATATAATGCAATCAGCATTATAATGGAAATTAAAATAAACTTTTAATATTTAGGTTTCAAAACTCTAAGATGTAGTTTAATAATTTAGTGATGTAAAATATTACTTAAACCATTAATTATTAAGTATTGAAAGGACCACATCAGGATAAAATAATTTTTAAAATTTACTTAGGAACGACGCACATTTAACTTTTAAATTAGTGCCTTAGTGTAATTTTTCTTTTTAATTAATATTAAATATTAGAATAGGGAAAATGTGATTTATCATTACTGTATCGAAGTTGTTTTTTAGGTCTCTAATTTTGAAAAACGACGTAGTCGAAAAATTATTTGTCAGTCCCTAGTGTCCATAGCAAAGATTGATTCAATAGTTAATTTCAAATTTGCTTCTTAAATTAATTTACTCACATATTTGACTTAATTAAATAGCTACAATATCTGCTCGAAACTCATTATTAGGTGAAACACCTGTAGTTGTATTTAAAAATTCCTATAGACTTAAATCTGTAAAAACCCATGGTTTATCTTTAAATCAT